ATAATGATATATCTGGTATTCTAAGACCTACGTTTATAGGAACTTTTCTTATTAAAAAATTATTCTCTATCAACTGTTAAAATCATACTACAAAAAACTGACTCACCCTGTATATTCAGATATGATTTTAGTCTATTTTTATATTTATTCAGTTTTATACAATAAGGGGTGGTTTTCATCCCTTAAGAACAGAAAGCTCACCTAGCACATATATAAGTTTTGAAGTGGGGGGTAAGATCAGCCTAATTCTAAATTTTGAGAAAAATCGATGCAGTTATAAAAGATTCGGAGGTATTACTATATTTTCAGCTACAGTAACTGGGCTATAGATAAAAACTTTATAGGAAAGACTCCTCTTAAAATTCATCAAAGAATAAGAGGTTTCAGTTTTGGTCGCCATTTGTGAATCACCATGTATATTGTAACGTTGTAAACACACAAATCAACTAGATGAAAAACAATATTTTCAACTTTCTTTTTTCAGTAAAAGTGCAAAATGTTATTAATTTACATAATGGCTTCTGCATGTTTGTATTGGAAAACTGAAAAGCAGGAAAATGTATAGAATAAAAAAACCAATTTATCCCTTTAAAGAAATAAAAATGATCGAAGAATACATTGAAAAGCGTATTGTGTTACAATATATTGTATTAAAATTGTAATCTTTTAGCGGTAACTGAAAAGAAAAGTTATTTTTAGTCCTTGTGTAAATAGTTCATACAAATTTTGTTCAATAATACTAACAATAAGTATACATTTATTCGCAGAATAGAACCCATCAAGAACTGCATTAAAATTTGCTAGAAGGTAGAATATTTGTATTTATCTATTTAAAGTATTCATCCTTTTTTTGTAGCAGAGCGTTCCAACAATTAAACAAAACTATTAATCTGATAATATTCAAATGAGAAACAATCCGTGGTACTAAATATACATTTTTTTTTCAGCCTTTAGTTTGATATTCTTAACATCCGCATCGTTTAGCTGGTCCAATGTGATATGCTGCGACATATATCGCACCTTTGGGTAAGTCATTATCTTCTGAAACATTTCACTTACAAAGGTATATAACTGCAGTTATCGTATAGTATTATAATTTTTCTGATCTACCTTACTAGAAGAGTTGTTAATGTGATCACAATAAAACTGCAGTTTATATCTCTAAACGACAGACGATAAAATATGATACCATTAAATCTTTTACTGTCGCATGAACCAGCAAAAAGTTGGGAAAATAATATTAAATACATTTTGTCCAATGGACGTGGAAAATATTAATTACATTAACAAGTCGCATATGCTCTGTGAACTACTGTCATGTGTTCAAAGACTTTTTTTGCAGATTAACATATTGTAAGTACCCGTTGTTTTATGTGACATGCAATTATATTCACGAACATCATTCAGTCAAAATGCATAAGAGATTATCGCGGTGTAATTCATTTATTATGTTGTACATTAATCTAATCTAAATTCTTATATAATAAATAAAGTTTTGTATGCTATTAAGGGGGTCGTTAAAATTAACTAAGCAAACCTGTGAGGTCTAAAGTTTTTTTTAAGCAACAAATTTAGGCAGTAAGCAATCATGAGGTGGTCATCTCCTTTTTGGTCTCTAAATTGACGTACAGAACAGTCACTTCCTCTTTTTTATACTATACAAGCAAACAATGTGTTGAACGTGCGAAATTATCCATGTATACCATTTTTAATCGTAATTAGTATCATTATAATTTTTATTATACAGGGTGTTCCTGGACTTGTGGTAAAACACTGAGTATGGGAAAATGAGTAGGTGGGATTAAAACAATGTCAGTGCGTCATATAAACTATACAGGGTGTTCCAGACAGACCTTCAATTAGGCGTTTCTGGAAAACTACGCGTACTGCAATTCTGAAAATTTATGTACGGGGGTTTCTCCTAATGTTCTATCGATTGAAAATATTGGCGTCGTCGTGGAACTTTCGGTTCTACCGGAAGTAGACGTCAACTCGCTTATTTCAAATGGAATGTACTATTTTTTATTTAATTTTTGGATTCTACATCGAATTTTAAGGTAAGTTTCATAACCTTACTTTATCCTTAAACTCAATAGTTTTTGAAATATTTTGACTTTTTCAAAATTTTTGAAAAAAACATACCTACACTTAATCGGTTCTATCTCCTCCAATTTTTAAGATAGGAAGCTGAAATTTTAGATGGTCAATACCAAAACGTGTCCAAATATCTGGAATATTCGAAAGTTGGTGCATGTTACACAGGGCGTCTAAAAAACACGGACCAATTGTGTCAAATTGAAAGTTTAATAACTCGCTTATTTTAAATAGAACACCCTGTGTTTTATAATGCCAGTAGATGCACCTGTTAATTCTCTTTCCATTGGTATAAGCATTCCCTATACCTAAATCCCACCGATTTTGAGATATTTGAACATAAGTACAGAGACGAATATAATCCGACAGTTAGCTGTAGGTTGGCTGTGGAAAAACATTTAAATGTCACCAAGTGTCATTACTTATTTAGCAGATTTGCTGTCATTGCTGTAAAGCGAGTTTGTCGATTTTCCAAGTGTTTTCAATAACAATGGCACACTCTGGGTACACACACGACGACTTTTTAAATTTAATTATCATTTACGGGGAGTGTAATAGAATTGTTAGTAGAACATGTCGCGTGTTTGCAGAAAGATATCCAAATAAGCACAGACCAAGTCATGATATGGTCAGAAGACTATTAAAGAATTGTTCTGAGAATGGAAAGTTTCTCCCGAAACATGATAAAGGTAAGACATCAGTGGACAACGAAGAAAATGAAGTAAATGTATTGGCATTTTTCACCGCTTATCCACAGGCGTCAATTAGAGATGCATAATAAATTCACGTCTATCAATAGGAACTATTCACAGAATTCTGAAGAAGCATAAATGGAAGCCATTTTCATTTATGTTAATACACCATTTGCAACCTGACGATTTACCCCGACGTGTAGTCGTCGTGTGTGTACCCAGAGTGTGCCATTGTTATTGAAAACACTTGGAAAATCGACAAACTCGCTTTACAGCAATGACAGCAAATCTGCTAAATAAGTAATGACACTTGGTGACATTTAAATGTTTTTCCACAGCCAACCTACAGCTAACTGTCGGATTATATTCGTCTCTGTACTTATGTTCAAATATCTCAAAATCGGTGGGATTTAGGTATAGGGAATGCTTATACCAATGGAAAGAGAATTAACAGGTGCATCTACTGGCATTATAAAACACAGGGTGTTCTATTTAAAATAAGCGAGTTATTAAACTTTCAATTTGACACAATTGGTCCGTGTTTTTTAGACGCCCTGTGTAACATGCACCAACTTTCGAATATTCCAGATATTTGGACACGTTTTGGTATTGACCATCTAAAATTTCAGCTTCCTATCTTAAAAATTGGAGGAGATAGAACCGATTAAGTGTAGGTATGTTTTTTTCAAAAATTTTGAAAAAGTCAAAATATTTCAAAAACGATTGAGTTTAAGGATAAAGTAAGGTTATGAAACTTACCTTAAAATTCGATGTAGAATCCAAAAATTAAATAAAAAATAGTACATTCCATTTGAAATAAGCGAGTTGACGTCTACTTCCGGTAGAACCGGAAGTTCCACGACGACGCCAATATTTTCCATCGATAGAACATTAGGAGAAACCCCCGTAGATAAATTTTCAGAATTCCAGTACGCGTAGTTTTCCAGAAACGTCTAATTGAAGGTCTATCTGGAACACCCTGTAGTCTAGTCATAAGTTACTGGGTTCAAAAAGTTTAAACTTATTTTTATTATCAATAATTTCAAATGTATACATTTGATGATCGCGATTCTATTCTTGGTTGAATTCGATGTCGCGGTTTAAGAGAAATTCGCCATTTTGTAGTGCATACTCTCTGCGCCTGAATGCTGTTAACAAAATTATTTGTAATTACTGTTAGATAAAAGTGACACATGAAAAGACACAATCTAATTTGTACTTGTATAGTATATTCATGTCAATCGATACAGAATAATAAAATAATAAGTTAAACTCGATATTGTGTTAAGAAACAATTTAATAATATGAAAAAATGCTATCAAATTAAATGTTCGAAGTGATCGTCTTCAACATCCACACACTTAACGAGGCCTGCCTAGGTTCTTCCTTTGTACTTGGAATAGCAGAGGAGAATTCTGTTCAACAGTTCATCCCTTGTTTATTCCAGAGACCCCAACAAAAAGTAATCAATAGGATTAACATTTGGGAACGTAGTGGGCGTGGAAATAGCTTTCCTTTTCCAATCTGCCAATAGATAGGTAGGTCCTAATAAGGAAAATTATTATTTGTGGCAGCGTCTTACATGAACCATAAGTTTATTGGGATTTCTAGAAGAGTGCTGTTTAAAAGTAGTTGGACATCATTATGTTAAAGCATCATATATTCAATGTACGAGTAATAAATGATTATCCACTACACTTACCCACATCTTAAAAATAAATCGATGTTGGTTGTGGCTTACACATTTCGGTGCGGATTCTCATCATCCTGTAAGTGTAGGTAATGTGATTTCTGGTGAATGCAGATTCATCCGTGAAAAAATACATTTCCAACACTGTTCTTGATAATTACCTCAAAAATAACAAGCATATCCAAGTCGTCCTGGAAAGTCCTGTTGACATAGCATGTACTTCCTGGATATGGAAACGGTAAAAACGGTACCCCTGGAAAATTTGGGACCTTCTCTTTTTTAGCAACAAATTTCCTAAAATGTAATTTTATAAAACATAGTGAGAAATATATTTGTCTTGGCATATTTGTCTTGGGATCGATAGGAACAAAAGTTCTATTGTTGAGTAAAACTCTTTCAGATAATCATTCTTTATTCTATCTTCTAGAGCCACTAGACACTAAAACACTTCACACCAAAACACTAAACTAAACACTAAACACTAAAAAGTAAATGTCATATAATAACAATTTAGATTGTGTCTGTTTCATATCTCTTCATACACTTTTATCAACAGTTTTGTTAACAACAATACAGTCTTAATTGTTCACCATTGGGCACAGTTCGTACCAGACGTTCAGAAGCCAATGAAAATTTATGCCAAAAAGGATATATGCATTTGTGTTTCAATCATTAAATTTAGATTAAATCAAAATATGGTTTAGAGACTAAAAAAAACAAATTTCACATTTTTAACTTCAGAATCCCGTAACCCAGTAAGGAAGGATCGTGTAACAAAAGTATACTTATATGAAGTGCTAAGATTGTTTTAATTTTATTTATTTACTCCTGAGGTTTCTACACAAGACTTGGGATATCTTATATGCGTACAGTTTGGCCAAATTGAACCGCGAGATTCAAATAAGCCCAGATAATTTGCTGATGCATAGCTCGTGTGTATAATACATAATATAACAATTAAATAATTTTATTTATCAGACCTAAATCCAATTTTTGCACACGTTACCTGTCCTACTATCACTTCTACTACGGGTTCTTTTCTTGATCTGCGCATTTTGCTTATAAGATGTTTGATAAGTTTGATAAAGTCAATAATAATGATATTCTCAATATTCTGTTCAATATTAGGAATTAACACAAAAATGTCATTGAATTATCTAAAAATGTACTGGATGATGATGGTCATAATATTTACTTAAAATTCATATATGCATGGCACAAAAAAAACTGGTCTGAATCAAATATTATTTATCCATTATTGATAAGTATGTTTTATTTTTTATCAGTATCATTCACGATTCCCATAGGATTCAAGGGGGAGTGTGTATTGAATTGCCATATTTTTTACTAGTTTAATTACCATAAATGACTATAGATTTATTGAAGTGTTTTTCTGAAAGTTTTTCTTTCTTTGTTTTAATTAACCATCCGGAATTTATGGCCAAATTAAAAAGTATATTAGGGAATAATACTCCCTTAAGGGAGTAACTATTTGAACAACACCACGGTTTTGAATGTGATGAGTTTCACTACATAAACTACAAAGATTTGAATGTACCTACGTGAAATAAAAGAGTAAAAATGTAAAAAAATGTAGCCGGGAATGTATATTTAATAGAATTACTGCAAATAATATAATTTCTGGTTTATATTTTATAACATAATTTATATAACACATATATTTTCCTCATTGTGTAAAATGGATTATTGTCCTTGATGATTTGTCGAACAATGTGAAAATGTTTTGAAAGGACAGTAAATATCTCTTGTTTCGATATAACTTTGTCTGTTTTAGTTCAATGCAGCAAACCAAGGGGCCTCTAAGGAATAAACTTAAAAAATTATTTCTATATCTACTCTATGGCTGGGGAGTACCAACTGTTATGACTTTAATAATAGCTTTATTTTACAATTATCGGGTTCTGCCCTACTCCATTCAACCCTATATGGCTGAAATAAAATGTTTCTTCGACAGAAGTAAGTAAAACATTTTTTGTAAACATATAGTTTGCTAATTAGAGTGAAAGAAAAAAACGTAAATAATTTAAGTAATATTGTTGTCTTGTATTTCCAGAGGAAGAAAATTACTCTCAAGCTTTGTTTTTCAATTTACCGCATTTGATTATACAATTAGTTAATACAGTATTTTTCATAAAAACTACTATTTACTGTTTGAAAGTAAAGAATGAAATTAATAGAATCAAAGACACGGTATCAGATGAGAGGAACAAACGCTTTCAAAAGGACAAAGAGAGGTAATATTTAATGCTAATGTATTAAAATATATTTTTTTAAATTCCGTGATAATATTTTTAGATTATTTCTTATATTGAAGTTGTCTGTGATCATGGGCATTTCATTTATGTTCGAAGTTATATCTTCATTCTTTGACATGAAGAAAATGGGTACTACTGCCATCTACATAGAAATAGTTTGGGATCTCCTAAACTGTTTGCAAGGTATGTATTTTATTATACAGGGTGTCCCAAAAGTATGGAAACAGCAAAATAACTTTCGAAAAATGCATTTTGAGGAGAAATGATTCAGACAAAAGATTTACGATTTTTCCCTGACTATTCAATGGTGACCCTAGATTTGACCTTAACCTTGACCTTTAAGGTTATTTCAAGGTCAAGTTAATTTTTTCAAATGGGATACCCTACTTTTGACCCCGGAAATGAAAAGAGCGGAAAATTTTACGTTCAGATATGTCCTTGACCATTTTCCGAATTTGACCTCTGATGGTCATTAAAGGTCAAATCAAGGTCACGCATGGTTTGGCGCGCTGTCTTGAAAACAACGGGTTGCAAAAATTACCATAATTGACGTTGTAGGATTTTTGCCTGGCTATCTGACGGTGACCCTTGATTTGACCGTGACCTTCACCTTCAAAAACCGCACTATACCAATTTTGGCAAAAATTGGTTGATTTTTGAAATTACGTCCGCCATCTTGGACTAAAATTCCTCAATAACAGATTTCAGATTCGTAGTCAGCGACCCCAAAAACCCCCCTATACCAAATTTGGCGTAAATCGGTTAATTTTTTGGAATCGCGTCCGCCATATTGGATCCGCCATCTTGGAAAATGGTGAAGGACATAACTGAACGTAAAATTTTCCGCTCTTTTCATTTCCGGGGTCAAAAGTAGGGCATCCCATTTGAAAAAATTAACTTGACCTTGAAATAACCATGAAGGTCAAGGTCAAGGTCAAAACTAGGGTCACCATTGAATAGCCAGGGAAAAATCCTAAAGCTATTGTCTGAATCATTTTCCCTCAAAATGTAATTTTCGAAAGTTATTGTGCTGTTTCCATACTTTGGGGACACGTATTTTACGCAGAGATCAGCAATGATGGCATTACAGATTAAATTTTAAAAATTTAGAGACAATAGTATGTTTGTCCGTTATATAATGATTAATTATATAACAGTAATAACATCAAAAATAGCAATGTATTTAAATGCAATGAAACTGTTTCAGGTGTTTTCATATTCATCATTTTTATATGCAAGCGAAAAATATACCACGATTTGTTGAGAAAACTGAAGATATCAACTTCAAGAAACCTATCATTTTCATCAGTAAGTACTCAAGTAACAGCTGCCTCAAGTAGGTCATCTAAGAAGTCTTCGAATGCGGAAAGTACCACTAACATGTTAAAAACTTAGTCTCATTTCACTTTGCTTGAATATTTAAAATATTGTACCTGGCATACCAAATATTTAGATGGAACCTTATATTTATAATTTATGCAAGATGTGTTATTTCTATAAAATTGCATGTTGAGCGAGATGTCTGTTACCATTGTAATGCACCAAATATTGACATATAAGTGTTGTACTGTATTTTTATTGTTATTGTTTTATGTATGTAGGTATATGTTTTATGATGTCAAATACTTATTGAATGTGTGGTGATATTTAATGTGATATTTCAGTGTTAAATAAAAAAAAAGATGTAGTTATATTTATGAGAAAAATCTGTCTTTATGCACTTAATGTTCTTTATGTATACAAAGGTATTTTAATGGAATATAATTAAGTAAAAAAAATACGAGACGCATAAGAAAATTCTTAAATTAATATCCGGACTATGCAACCAGACATATAAGCAAAAGTTATACTTATTTTTCGAGCAACGAAAAGTACATTTATATGATATTTTGGTTGCCTATTAGTGGGCAGGTTTTTTTAAAGAATTTTGAGATTGTATATCGTCTCCATTACAAAATAGTACCACCATAATTTGTCTTATTACTGGTTATTCCAACTTTTATGTAAAACTGTTGCAAATATAGAATTATAAAACAGACTGTAGTAAAAAAACTGTAGTATGTACATGAGATTTGTAGAACTGTATTGCTGGTTGTATATGATATGGCTGAATTCAAACAAATTTTAAGGAAATAATGTAATTTATGTTATATTTTTGGTTGCTAGATGGCGCTACTTGTATTTTTAAAGGGCTAGCAAAACCTAACGTAAGCCAACAAAACTTCCTACGTTGAAAATATTACTTTTTTTGTGTGGAAAGTTAATAAAAATCGGGAACATACTATTACAATATTTTAATATTTTTTCCTAAACAAAAGAAGGCTAAATTCGTCAAATATTTTAACTAATATAATCGGCTTTGAACAGACTTAATTCTATATTCGATTTACGTGATTTCAAAAGGGACGCCTTGCATTTTATGGGAAAAAGAACACTTTTGTTTTGTTTTTAATACCACACACAAGGTTTATATATTTTATTATCCCAAATTCTGTAATGTACAAGCGTATATATAAATGTTAATAAGCTACAAAGTCTATTGAAACATCACCCTCTGATATAAAAAGCAACACCTAACAGTTAGTATGAAAAAAATTGTACCCACTGAAATTACGACTCTCTTTATTCTCTGTGTTAACTGGCATATTTGCTACGGAAGCACAAATAAAATTCTTCGTACCGACGGCGACGGCGACGTTTTGAAATTTTCAATAAACAGTTTTTTTATTACAAGCTTTTTGTGACCGTTTTTGAAATTTTTTGACAAGCTACAGCTATTATAATATTCGGTTCCATCTATAAGCACTCTAACCGACAAAAAATTTTAAATTAAAAACGTTTTGAGATTAGAGATACAAAATTGTAGTTAGGTAACTAAAGATTTACCCTACAAACAGAACGTGAATTGAAAATGTCACAGTTAAATTAATTTATAACAGTAAAATAACATTTAGATTTCCTTGTTTTACCTAAGGATGAAGATCCCGGAAATGGTAGGAGGTACAAAGATGGTCAAGTTAAAGAAATGTCGTGATAAGCGCTCTTGAATCTGGACTGGTGCATTACTGGTTGCGTGACTCATTAAGAAATTCATATACAGTGTTTGGTAAGTCGATGCATTCCTTGTAGGAGGTTGTAGTACAAGTGATTTGTAATATATTTCCTTAACATACGATATTCGGAAAACGCTTAGTTTCCGATGTACAGGGTGTTAAAGTTTTTATAAAAAAATGCAAATTTATAAATATTGTGGAAGCCGCTCAGAATATTTTAACGAAATTTTACATACTTTGACAGTTAACAACAATACATGTTTTACGATAAAAATATTGTTTCCAGTTTCACCAGTGGCGTGTGTACAGGCATGTCTCTAGATATTTTTAAAGAAAAAAATGATACGCCAAAAATAAATAAAATATATTTTTGAATTCCTCGTTCAATTTGGAAGAGAAAAGGTATCTCGACTGTTTTTCTTACGACGCACTATTTTCGAGTAAAAAAATTAACATCGATTTATTGCATAGCGTAATCCTGTTTCAATAATTTGAAAAATAGCAGAAATTATACACTTAGTTTTTTTGCACCAATTTTATTACAACACCTTATTACTATCCGCAATTCACATCAGTCTAAATGCTTCTTCATTTTATTAAAAATTAGATTATGTTATCTGTGTAGAGTTCCTGATTCACTGACCATTCGATAGGTGTTTGCAAAGACACGGATATTTGGAAGTCGCCTGTTTGATAAGCGACGCCGATATTTTCGACGCGCTTCAGCACCAATTCCGATGTAAAGATATCTGCGTATTCAGCATTCGAAAACGCAGCCATTTCAAGAACACCCTGTACATCGGAAACTAAAGGTTTTCGGAATATGGTATATTAAGGAAATATATCACAAATCACTTATACTATAACCTCTTGCAAGGAATGCATCGACTTAACTAACATCCTGTAGATTTGTAAAAGTCTGTTAATTCACAGTCATGTATAGTACTTTCATAAGTGACGTCCTAAGTAATTTTGGAACAGTAGAACAGTAATTTTATTTCCTTCATGTTGGCAAATAAATTTCGAGAAAATTAAGACAATAAGGTTAAGATTACTTTAAAACACAATATTCTGTTTCATCGGCTGTGATTGATGTAATTCTTCACTAGACTGTCTTCAGCCAATTAGTGATCGCATTACCTCGAGCGTAGACGTAACGGTTTGTCATTGTTCATTGTAAACGGATCCTTTATATTAGTGACGCCAAGATTTAGGGCATTTTCGTTATCAGCTCCAATCGTGCAGTGTTGGGGTCCCTAAGCACGTCGATCACGTAGCTTGTAAACATTTATGAAGGCTCAGCAGTTTCCGACCAGTGATGTAAGAGATCCATGTTTTTTACAGAGTTTGAATTGATTTAAATTAATGTAAGGTATAAATATCAACATATTACCTAAGAGGGTGTAAAATTATCTGAATAGTAAATAACCTCAAGACAAGCTAAACACTTTTTATATAGGAAAAAAATACTTTGTAAGTCTTCAACATAATTTACTATCCGCTCTGTGAATTTATTTAATGAATGCTGAATTTACCAAAACCTAAAATATGGAGAACATTGTTACATGAACGTGAAGCAAAATAAGCATTTTTCCTGCATTTCCCTCCTTTATTTACGTAATTCGATATTTCTGGTGCAAAGGATTGTGCATTCTCCAGTTCCCAAATAATGAATCTTAAAAGCACTACTAAATCGTACGCTTTTAAATAAGGATTTCTCACAAAGAATTGTTATAAATTTATAGATGTTGCGAGCACAATGCACGTAAAAGGCATTACATACAGAGGACGTCTGGCTGAGGCCAGAAGGTCTTATCGGCATCTTTGGAGTAGCGACCTGGAAAATGTCCAAGACATTAAAGTTCGCATAGGATGGATTAGCCAATAAAACTGTCAGCATTGAAAGTAATGAAATGAGCCTACGTTACCTTCTACCGCGTTACTCTTTCTATCATCTTTCGAGATCCTCATTTTTTACGTGCATTCTTATAGCCAACAGCGACAAGGAAACCATGTACTCGTATATAAATATAGTACTGTCGACTATAAATATAGGAAATACGATTAATTACAATTTATCTCACAAATTATCCACGACTGTATTTAGAATGTTGCATTTAACTTTACTACCATTTGGTTTTATACAGGGTGTGTTAAAAGTTTGACTAAAATCGAACATAATCCAGAATCTACAGTCCTAAAAATATGGTCTGTGACACTTAATAAAGCAGTAGAACAACTATGTCCCTTTCGAAAACCAGACTGCTCAATAGGCAGTACGTTATTAATAGTTAAATGATTCATAATTTGATCTTTTACAATGTACTCTAAAATTTTAGATAAAGCAGGAAGAATAGGAATAGGTCTTAAATCTTTTAGTTCTCTAGGTGTTTTTTTTTTTGGAGAAGAGAACATTCGACATTTTCCAAGCATGGGGGTAAACTGAAAATTCCAAGCAATAATTTATTATGTGACAAATGTATTTTAAAAGAAAAGGGCAGCACAAAACAATGAAATCTATATGTATTCCCTCAGAACCAATTGCTTTAGATTTGACATTAAGTAAATACTTAAATACTTCATATTCAGTAGTACCTCTGAATTTAAGTTTTGAGGATATGTCTGATTTAACAGAGTCATAATAGTGAAGATCATTTGTTAACTACTGCCGAATTTACGGAATAATTACACAGTCACACAAAAAAAGAAAAGTTGTCTGTACTTTTCATGCGACATAATATTTTGTAGTATTTTTGCCTCCTGATCACGAATCCGGTGTCAGAATTGGGCTATCACATCACAGAAATTTCCTAACCTCAAAAAACAGGTAAAAAATGGCAAAAATTCATGAAAAAGTGCTAGGAAAAATACAAATATTTTTTTTCTATATTCAAATGTTGATTTATATAGTTAAGACACCGCCCAACGTGAATCTGTGGTCAGAATTAATGGTTCTTTTTCTAACCCCAAAAAAACGGGTCAATTAAGGTCAGATATCACGAATTTTCAAACAATAACAGATTCGCGCCAAATTTGGTATATGGGGCTTTTCTGGGTCGCTGATCACGGATCCGAGGTCAATTTTGCAAAATTTAAGATGGCGGATCCAAGATGGCCGACGAAATTTTCAGAAAATAACAGAATCGCAGCAGATTTGGTATACGGAAGTTTTCTGGGTCGCTGATCACGGATCCGAAGTCAATTTTGCAAAATTCAAGATAGCAGATCCAAAATGCCCGACCAAATTTTCAAATAATAACAGAGTAGTAGCAAATTTGGTATACGGGGGTTTTCGTGGTCGCCGATTACGTATTCGAGGACAGAATTGCGAAATTGATTTTGTAATATTTTACTTTATAACCTGAGTACCCAATCATGTGTTATCCCACTTTTTTTCAGTTATATCTTGTTTTTTTCTGTAAAAGATCTATTCACGGGTTGAATTTTGTAAATCTGATCACGAATCCGAGATTAGTGACCTCGAAAACCTCCGTATACCAAATTTGGCGCTAATGTGTTATTTTTTGAAAATTTGGGCGGCCGCCATTTTGAATTTTTCAAAATTGACCTCGAATTCGTTATCAGCGACCCCGAAAACCCCCTTATACTAAATTTGATGCGAATCTGTTATTTTTTGAAAATTTGGTCGTCCATCTTGGATTCGCCATCTTGAATTTTGCAAAATTGACCTCGGATCCGTGATCAGCGACCCCGAAGACTCCCATATACCAAATTTGGCGCGAATTTGTTATTTTTTGAAAATTCGTGATATCTGACCTTAATTGACCCATTTTTTTGAGGTCACAAAAATAACCATCAATTCTGACCTCTAATTCACGTTTGCCGGAGTCTTAACTATATAAATGAACATTTGAATATAGAAAAACATTTTTTTGTATTTTTCCAATCACTTTTTCATGAAT